TTAAAATATAGTGATTAATTGAACCGGGTTGGGTTAACCCGTTCATTCGAAAACGCTATTTTAGTCATTTTTTAGACAACTTGGTGCTGTCTGGGTCTCTACGCTCCGAAAAACTTCGAGAAGGTTCCAGAAGCGCAGAGATGCGCACATATTTATTTTCTACGGAGCGCGAAAGCCAACCTCAACATATACTATTGCCTAAATAAATTTAGATTAGATGTAAATATAATATATATAATATTATAAATAATATTAAATAAATAATTGAAAACTAAATAACTAATAAACTCCAGATATACAGAATATCCGACAAGTAAGTGACCAAACAAAAGGTGAAGGTAGATTGAGTCAAACTGAATCGAAAAGTCCTAAACTTTTTTTTTAATAACGCTTAATAAAGGAGCTATTATTGAGTAAAGTGTGGCCAATCAGCACCAAATAAAAGGCTTGAATTCATATTAAAATATAGTGATTAATTGAACCGGGTTGGGTTAACCCGTTCATTCGAAAACGCTATTTTAGTCATTTTTTAGACAACTTGGTGCTGTCTGGGTCTCTACGCTCCGAAAAACTTCGAGAAGGTTCCAGAAGCGCAGAGATGCGCACATATTTATTTTCTACGGAGCGCGAAAGCCAACCTCAACATATACTATTGCCTAAATAAATTTAGATTAGATGTAAATATAACCAATCAGCACCAACCTTTAGCCGGGTGCACGTCGGTGAGCCGCGCGCCGTGAAGTGTGCGCTGCCACATACTACCAGGGGCCATATTCTTGAAAAATATCGCATACGATATTTGTCATTGCGCAACTAAAACGTATCGGAAAATAACTGCGCAATGATAAATATCGTATGCGATATTTTTCAAGAATATGGCCCCAGGCGCGCGGCTCACCGACATGCGCCCGACTAAAGGTCGGCGCTAATTGGCCAGATTTTATTCAATAATAATTCCTTTATTAAGCGTTATAAAAAAAAATAGTTCAGGACTTTTCGACTCAGTTTGACCCAATCTACTTCCACCTTTCGTTTGGTCACTTACTTGTTAGACATCCTGTATATAGGCTGCATTCCGATATTCACCGAGTACTGAAAATCTATAGCACGTGATGTAAACTATAGATTTTCAGTACTGGTAGAGAATATCGGAAGAAATGCCGTCATGAAACGTTAAATAACACTCTCATTATAAGGATGACAATGTAATCTAATTTCTTTTGAAACAATAAATTGTAAACATAACATAAAATATATTACCACTCATTATACATTTCATTCACTTTCACCATCTATAAAAAGCAAAACAATTTTTTATGATCAATTTAATCCTCAGAGTTTTTAATGTATATTTCTTTATCGCGTTCCAAACGCATTTATGTATGCAAATAACAAACTTACAAACACATAGCTTCTTTGCATAATTCTTTTGCAAGAAAGAATCAAATAAAATAATTATTAATAATTTTTAAAAAGTGTATATAATTATATTATAATCCCAATAAGACATCTTAAATGTCTAATAATAAATGTTTTTTTCGATCTGTATTTCACACTGTGGGATATTATATATTAACATATATAAAATGCAAAGAGAGAAAGACGAGGGGTTGAGAAGTAACGCGTTACTTGTAACAGTAACGGCGTTACAAATTTTGTAACGGAAAAAATAATTTGTTTTTATTTTTTAGTAACGAGAGAGTAACGAACTTAACAGTTACTTTTATCATTATTTTTACGAACCAACTCATGATTCATGCCAGAGTTTATTTACTTCAAACTGAAATAAAAAAAAATACATAGTCTTTCGTATCTCACACCCTCGCGTAATTATGGACATTTATCGCTGCGCTTGATCGATTGTGCGGAAAATACGAGAGTGATCGAAGTTACAATGTTTACACAAAGGTTTTCTTTTCACGAGTAGTTCTCCTTACGATGACAACGACGACACCGTAGTTTCTTTCAGTTCTACGCGTTCAGTTCTCCAATCCAACAGGGTACGTGTAACGTTGAACAACAAAATCATTTTACATTTTTCACATTCGCAAGAATAATATTGGATAAACTGTGATAAATATTTTTTTTCAAGTACAATCTTATATTATTTTTTCTGCGTTATATAATAAGCGGCACACTTAATTGCAATTAAGATTACTTATTTCTATCTAAATATGTAACCACAGTTTTCTTTTCTTTTGCCGAATGGTGATCGCATTTAAGTTCTTGCTACATTCCATATAAAGAATATTTCTCTTGAAAGATAACTACAAATATATGTATTATAGTTATAAATAACAATTTGAAAATTGAAAATGTGAATGAAAATTGTTAATGTGTTATATTATCACATATATGCTAGAAAATAAATATAAAAGAAATTTTGATTATATATTCGGATTAAAAAAAACATGCAAGAAACGTTAACAATATAGCAACGAAGATTATGTTCACCAGTGTATATAACCAACGATAGATTGCAAAAATATGATTGACACAAAAGTCAGATATTACTCGTCGTATCGATCAAGTAGCACTATTATTAACGGTGACTGTGAAGTATGTATATATATATATATATATATATACATACATACACACAGATTAATACAAACAGCTATATACATGATCAATTTCTTATACCGCATCTTATGTATATATAAATACAGATATGTATATACATTATGTGTATATCTGTACGTATATACGAGATATTATCGCGTGCATTCAAATTACGAACGAATTTCGTGTAATATTAGTTATATATATATATACATATTTGCACCGATGTTATGCTAAGAAAAAAGTGCAAAGGTGTATAAGCATACATTATATACATATGTGTGTGTGTGTGTGTAAAATTATGTTTTATAATGTTGCAAATGCAACCGCACTATCGTTATGCATTTGTGTAAACATAATTAGAAAAAGTTGTAAATAACTTTATATATAACCACGTTTATATGTGAAAAAATAAATATAAATATTTTACAATTTTTATTTACAAGAATCTAAATAAAATAATATAAGATAAATTACTTGGTAAATATAGCGAATAGGGGACCCAGCCCCAATGACCTTGACCTTGACATATGTTATCAAGGACATAATTCTGAGTAACTTTTTTTTCTAATTTAATCGTCGCTCGTTGCTTATTAAAAAGTTATTAACAAACAAAAATTTGTAAAAATCAAGATTTATACATAGTCTGACAATGAAAAACTGGATATTTAAGTTAGTTTACAGAAATAGTCCTACGTATACTACACATATAAACTGAAATAAACACAAGTTTTTACATATATAGGGTGTTCAAAAATAAAATATAAGTATGTTGAATTAATTATTTATTGGATAAATATAGCGAATAAGGGACCCAGCCCCAATGACCTTGATCTTGACATATGTTATCAAGGACATAATTCTGAGTAACTTTTTCTTCGCATATCTCTGAAACCAGAAGAGAGCGCCACAAAATTCAAAGTGCGTGTTACTTAGGAACGTGCCCTCTATAATATATGTAAAAATGAGAACGATCCGTGAGGTGTAAGTTAATCTGAACATTTACCACTTTTTCTTCTAATTTAATCGTCGCTCGTTTAAAAAGTTATTAACAAACAAAAATTTGTAAAAATCAAGATTTATACATAGTCTGACAATGAAAAACTGGATATTTAAGTTAGTTTACAGAAATAGTCCTACATATACTACACATATAAACTGAAATAAACACAAGTTTTTACATATATAGGGTGTTCAAAAATAAAATATAAGGGTAAATATAGCGAATAGGGGAGCCAGCCCCAATAAAGGTCAAGGTCATTGGGGCTGGGTCCCCTATTCGCTATATTTACCATTTATAATATTGTAAATAAAAATTAAAAAATATTTATATTACTTTTTTACAATGTGTGTGTGTGCGTGTGCGTGTGCGTATGCGTGTGCGTGTGCGTGTGCGTGTGCGTGCGCGTGTGCGTATGCGTGTGCGTGTGCATGTATGTGTGCGATTCGTGTGCGTGTGTGTGTATGTATATGTTAATTATATACATAATTATATTTTTATATATTTTATAACAATTTACAAAAAATGGTAAAAAATAATATAGAAAAATCAGCGATTATTATCTTTCCTTTCAGTTAATTTTAGACGAAGAGAATCTTTCTGGTATAAAAATATTTTTCGTATAAAATATCAAAAGTATCAATATTGCATATTGAAAGTTACACGTGTTAAAAGATTGCACATGTGAAAACAAGAACAATAACAATGCGCTACGGTTTTCACTTAATATTCTCAGCTAATATCTGCCTAATAATATGTTGCATGATAGAAGATGACATGACTGCGAGAATCGCGCTCTATTCCATTGATTCGATTACGCGCGAAGTGAATAAGAGACCTTACCGTCCCGAAAAGAATTCTTTCTCTTGTTTTTAATAAGAACCATTATACAAACGAAATCACCGATCTATTTGAGATCATAGAGCCTTTTTTATAGATCCCAGTATCTTTGCACGCGAAAATCTCGTCACGTGTTCGAGTACGCACGCAGGGGGTAGATAAGTGTTATATGTTTTTCGAAGGATAAGCATCTTTCGCGAGCACTCAATCGTCAACAACAATTATCCGTCGACAATCTGACGAGTACGAATGGGAGAAACGGATGCATAAAGTGCATAGAGAGTTGCGAACGCAACTGTGCCGCATTTTGTTCTGTGATTCGTACCTTGAATTCTCGTGAATTCTCAATAAATCTTGCAACGATAGATCTTCAACGTTCGACGATGCGATTGACAGCGGTTCTCGCAAAGTCTATTCTGCGCGAAGCAACGATATTTTTACGAAAGATCTCGTGATTTTATTTCTTCGTCCCGCTGAATATAAAAAGGTGAAATTTACATTAAGACTTACTTTCTTACATACTTTACATTTCATTTTAATATTAAAATGTTATGAAGATTTGACAAGTTATAAATTTAATTGTTATATGTGATCGTAGGAGTCCTTTCAATGCAACTTGCGAATTATCTTGCGAGCGCGTCTGCGAACAACACCGGCGAAACTGCCCTCATGTCTAAAAAAATGCATGTGCAATGGAACGATTTCGATAAGCAACAAATGGCGAATAATACAAACAGTAAGATGATATATATGTCTTCATTTGACATCGTTTTTGGATAAAATTCGAAATTTACTTAATGTTTAAATATTTATATTTATAATATTTATATATTTATATTTATAATATTTATATATTTATATTGTCTATATTTTGTTTTCTCTCTTTCTTCCTCTATATAATTAAAATCATTTTAAGTTAAAATGAGTATTTTAATATGAAAAAAATATGTAAAAGAGAAACAAAATATCAAGATATAAAAGTTATACCCAAAATATTTTCTCAACAAAATAATCATCTTTATCAAATAAATGGTTTCACCGATCTTTTTTCAATGACTTTGAAGTATTTGCTCAAGATCATTGCCTTCATTAAAATTCGTGAAGTCATACCAATTATTTCATGTGGCATTTAAATACATATATCTAAATGTTTCTGGAATATTATATTTAATCAATTATATTTATGAAAAATAAAACAAAATCAGTATTTAAAAAACTGATAAATGTTGCACGATTATATAGGAATTTATAGAAATTGCAAAACTGATTCACATAATTTTAACAATCATGTCGCGTAAAGAAATTCGCTGTATTTTATTTGTTACATGTGCTATAATCGTGAGTGTGGGCGATTTAAATCGATAACCTGAAATAAATGTCTGTAGACAAACCTTCAAACGTGGACGAATACGACGTGGCAAATCCCGACGTGACGAGTAATAATAAGTCGGTAAACAGCGATTTATACCAAGCGGTGTTTCCGATCTATCACATCAGCAAACTGTCCGGCGTATTTCCAACGAGATTTGTCCGACATGTATCTGGCAGGTATCAAGGCCGATTGAGCACCATCGATAGCGTTTACAGGTGACAATGAACAATCAAACCGATTCACATTTCTCGCGACTACATGTAGATAAAGATCAAATTATTCGAGATTTAAAAGAAGAGAAGTACATATTTGACAATTACATTAGATCTCATTAAGCATGTAATATAACAGCAATATTATAGCAATATTACAATATAAAGCTATAACATGCATATTGCTGGAATATTACAAAAATATCGCAGTAATATTAAAATATCCGCCAAAATGAATCGTAATAAATAATGATAACATCTCACAATTGTATTATTGTAATATTTATGTAATATTTATGTAATATTTATGTAATATTTATATAATATTGCAAGGAACTAGATAATTTTTAAATATTTTTATATTACAAATATATTGCAATTGTGTTATTATATAATTCCTCGAGAATTGTCATGACATAAAATATTATATTAATACGATAAAGAGATTATCTTGTTGAAACTTTCATTGTTAATATATCGTTTTACAACAAACATATACTGCAATGATACTTCTAATAATTCTTTATTATTATATTATTATATTATTATATTGTAATATTATTATTCATTAGTATAATCATTATTATAATTATATCTGCAATCTATTTGTAATAGAACGATGTCAATAACGGAAATATATTCCAACAAAAAAAGTAATCTTTATTATATATTAACATAATATTTTAAATAATGAAAATTGGTGGAATTATGAAATAAGACAACCACAATATATTTTTAATATAACAATATTATTATTTACTTTCATATCAACATAATAAATTAATAATAATTTGTTTCATGAAATTTAATTATATACACATATAGAAGAAAGTAAGGTAAAACCGGGTAGGCGGGTCAAACCGGCTAGCTCTGTTTCTTCGTGACAAGTGCTGTCTTTAGCTAACCCGTATTATTAGTTGTAGATTGATGCCATCATTATTTTGAGATGAACCGTGCCCACGTACACACGACATTTCTTTTTTTGAGAAAAGTTCAAAATTTTCGGGCCAAAAAAGATCGATATCGGGGCAACAATCGAATCGATATGGACTTTTCTACACAGAGCATCTGCTTCTGTAAATGCAGAATTGTATTCTGTACATATTAGAGTATATCGCATTAGTTTTGATCGTCACTTTGTACGCCGGAATATACAATCGCCGTGTTTGTTATTTTCTTCGTGTTGGGGCAAACCCGGGTACCTACACATCTCATGTAATAAAAAGAAAAAAAACTGTTATCTTGACTTTGTCTCCCTACAAAAAGCAGTTGGAAACGAAAACTACCATTCAGAAAAAGAAACCACCAAAAAAAAGCTTTTTGAGACCCTAAAGTTAAAAAATTAAATAAGAAAATCCTGCAGCAATGTAGAACAAAAGAATATCTTTATTTGTGATTTTTGGCAATAGAATACATCTTTGTATTGTATTTCGATTAAACTAAATCTATATTTTGTAATTGCACGGTGTTTTATGTTTTCAAATGGGTACCGGTTTTACCCTACCGGTAGGGCAAAATCGGGTATTTTAACATCTCCAAAAAATCTTGTCATTTCTGGTAACCAAATATTTTTTTTTAGCAACTAGCCTCATTTTCTCATAGTTTAAGGTCTACTAAAGACTACTAACGGTTAGCAAAATTTTTTTTTGCTTTCTGGTTTTTTGTAAAAAAACAAACCCGAAAATGTACCCGGTTTTACCCTACTTTCCCCTATATGTATGATGATTTTGTAACGTTACGAATATAATTTTCATTAATATTATTTATATTTGCACAGTAATATATACGTTTATGTAATACTAATAAAAAATATATTCGTAATACTACAATATACACAATATATTATTTCTGAAATATTTTATTTATACTCCAATGCCACATATATCACATCCTATGTAGCAAGGTGACGTCAAATAACATCTTAATGACGTTTCTAATGTTAATAAGATATCATTAAAATGTCATTTGCCGATACTTTGCTTTTTGGAATGTGATATATTGCAACAATATAACTGTAATATTTTAATGTTATTTATAAACGTGTAATATGTTAATAATATTTCTGTAATATTATACTGTAATACGTATATAATGTTTCCAGTATTATTGCAATATTTCTGCAATATTTCTGTTAACATATTACATGCTATGTGGGATACTAGGGTGGATCTCAAAAAGTAAGGATCCTTGTTTTATTATAATTTTCAGCTACTACTTATGCACAAATTGGACTTATTGTATTAAAATATAAGCTATAATGACAATTTTTCAATATAGTCTTCGAGAAGATCGATATATTTATATTTTCTACCTTGGCACGAATTTTTACTCTCTTAGAAAAAATCCGTCTCTTAGGGCGCTATTCTATACATGGTTACCGATAGTTATAGGCTCTATAAATGTCGTTGCACATGTTTTTTGATATGTCAAAAAACATGCGCAATGACACTTATACAGAGTCTACAGCTATCGGTAATCGTGTACAAAATGGCGACCTTAATGTTTAAACCATTCTTGGAGAGCATTTTATACATATATTGCTGCATCATTTGGAGAGAGAGAGAGAGAGGAGGGGGGAGGGGAGAGAGGGAGAGAGAGAGAGAGAGAGAAATGGCCTTCCTTCAATATATTTCTTCAGCAGCTCAAAAAAATAAAAATTGGAAAGAGCCAGGTCCGGGATGTATGGAGGATGCTCTATAATATTCCAATTAAATAATTACAGAAATTCTTAAGTTTAATATACAAAGTGAAATCTGGCATTATCGTGAGGAAAATTCGAAAAAAGCTTGGGCTCCTCTAAATAGAAACCCAGGCCTCTTTCTTCGAATTGCTTGCTTGATGCATTACTACAGAATACTACAGCATTACTACAGAATACTATTCACGAATGATTTAAATATTAAAAGCCGGATTTTTACCGAGAGAGAATCTTCAAACTCGTGCCAAGATAGGACAAAAATACATCAATCTTCTCGAAGAAACTATATTGGAAAATAGTCATTAACTTCTATTTTAATACAATAAGTCCAATTTATACATAAATAAAAGTACATTGTAAATAGAAGTGATAATGAAATAGAGAGAATCTTACTTTTTGATCCACCCTAATATAAAAAGATATAAGAGAACTTGAAGATTGTTAGATTAATTGTAATATATAAGTAAACAAAATATAAAATTGAAATAACGTATTGCAGTTTGTGCCTATTGGCGTGCCTGATAGGCACCGAGATTTGGGGTTTTTGGCGCGATCTCAGACATGGATGGGAAAACAGCACTCGGCTTAAGTCGCAGAACGCGGTAATTGTCACCACAAGCGATGTATTGGGCGTGATGAGTCTCACGGCTGCCTCCATCATCGGTTCGATTCTGTACTGGCAACAGGTACAGACCGTCATGGATAAACTGGTTGATGTAAGTCTCGTCTAATTGCCTTTATCGCAGAGATTATCGCATTCGAATTTATCGATTTATTCGGCTCAAGTGCGACGAGAAGCTGGGAATCCTCTCACCGAAAAAATTGCAGCGGTACACCATTTTGCTAACGTTGTGCAGCCTCTCCTATTCCATCATTCTCTCATGTCTCGATATCTACACATGGAACCATGAGGTGAAGTTAAATAAGAAGCTGGACGATAAGGGTCCGCTCAATTATCTCCCCCTGTACTTTATGTACGTAGTCATTATTATGATGGAGGTTCAGTATGCCATCATCGTGTACAACGTAGGCCAGCGGTTCTTCAGGGTCAACAAGAGCCTCGAGAACATCCTCAAAAGTGGCAAAATCACAAATCAATTCAGGAAGGATCTTGGATTAGGTGCATTCTTCTAATAGTTATTAGTCATTTTTTGCCTAATCTTTAAATTAATTAAGTGAGAAAATTGCCAGATAAGAGCCAAGGCACGGGTATCGGTGCGCGAATTTATTATAAAATTTTATTAACTAATGTGCATTAAAAATGTACGTTTCGGAAAAATTCAAGGTGACCTTGTCCTGACTTTGGCGATGCCATCCAAACCCAAACTGATAAGATCAGTAAATAGATCTTTTTAAACCCCACAACTTTTATTGGAAACAATTTTCTGTTTTTTATTGGAAACAAGTTGTGGGGTTTAAAAAGATCTATATACTGATCTTATCAGTTTGGGTTTGGATGGCGTCGCCAAGGTCAGGACAAGATCACCTTGAATTTTTGAAACGGAAACCCCTATTTTTTATTACATATTCTTGTCGCCTTTGTCGAGACCTTTTCAAAACACTATGATAAAGTATTTTTCGAGTTATTTTATATCTTAATCTGACATATTTTGATATAAAAAGTAAAATATCATATTGCAATGTTGCAGCAATGTTGTTGCAAGCTTTAGTGCTGTATGGGTTATACAGCGTAGAAAAAACATCAGAGAAGCACAACAGTGGCAATGAAAAAAGAACAAAACAATAATAATTGAAAAATGAATAGTTGGACTGCAAGTAAGCGTTCACGCTCAAGTAAAAGTAACCAAAAAAAAACTAGACAGATTGCACATACAGTCCGTCAGACTCTTGGCTCTTCACTTAAGGCCCGTTTCTATCATACGTTTGTATTTCTACATATTTTGATTATTTTTAATTTGAAATTCGATTGCAACTGCAAATGTTATGTTATGTCAATTTTTAAAATTCTAATTTGGTCTTTATATATTTATATCCATGCTAAAGATGGATCAAAAAAGGATCCAAAACGTACATTTTTAATACACATCCCATACAGCACTGAAGCTTGCAACAACATTGCTGCAACATTGCAATATTGCATATTGCAGTGTAATGTTGCAGAAATATTGCAAAGACATTATTTTACAATATAACTTTAGCAATGTTACAGCAACATTCCGAAAATATTACAAAAAGGTATTCGATAATCGCTAGTTCGTTGGTTTACCGCGGCGCATGTTGCGCTATCTATTCCGCATGTAATTTTTAATCACGATGATTATATAAAATTTACGAAGAGCGACTAGTAAGATTAAAGATATAATAAATATTTTTATTAGTTTAAGTTGTATGATATGACCCCAACACAGGGGACTCAGACATTGGACTAAAAATTCTTTTAATAGTTTCCATTCTTATATAAAATCAAAAATTTGATAATAATTTTCTAATATGCAAGATACTTTAGATTTTAATAAATAAATTTTGAGATTATATAAAGACAAAAGAGATGTGTGCATCGTTGTATTCGTAAATCCACCACGATCTTTATAAATCCGGATATCTGAATATTTCGGATACAAAGAGATTGTAAATTCATACAATTGCAAATTCAGTTTTTTCTTATTTCTTTTAGATATTCTTGGATATTATTGTCGATAAATATACATAAAGTATTATTGCATTTTATTGTTGCTGCAATATCATAACAACATTGCAGCAATATTTTGCAATGTTTCTGCAATGTTGCAATGTTGCAGAAAAATGTTGCTGCAATGTTGTTACAATCTTGCGGTGCTGTATGGGATTAGTTAATAAAATTTAACAATAATAAGTTCGCGCACCGATAACCCGCGCCTTGGCTCTTATCTGCCAGTTTTTCCACTGAATTATTCTTATCCTGAGCCTATTGCTGTTATCTTTAAATTAATATAAAATGTGACTCACTAAAGTGACACACGAACTCTAGCTGGCGACCTTCGAGATCAGGGACAACTCATAACGTACATCCGACAAGAAATGGTGGGAAATACTAGATTGTTTCGTAAATCGAAGATCATAGATTCCACCGTCGCAAATGGTACGATTTTAGCTTTAGTTATGTATTCACGAAGAATCTGATAAAAGTATACGAGTACTAATCCATATGTTCGTAATAAATTGCAATAGTAATAAAATAGTAATAGAAAGCTAGTTCCTAAATATTAATAATCTTAAAAAATAACGAAACATATATATATATATATACATACATATATATATTAGGTGTACAACTTTGCTTCCGAATTTAAAATAAGTTTTTCGATAATAATTAAAACTCTAGCAAATATTTTTCCAGATGGCAAAAGTTTTACGGACAGTATATCGCAATTGATGACAGTACACGCATCACTGTGTGATACGGTGTCGCTTATAAATACCGCTTATGGCGTCGTTGTACTCGCAATTACAATTACCTGCTTAATACATCTAATTATCACACCGTATTTTTTAATAATGGAAGCTGATGGAAGACGCGAACCACTATTCCTCGCGGTGCAAGGATTGTGGTGCATCTTCCACATTTGGAGGCTACTCATAATAGTGCAGCCTACATATGCCACTACAATGCAAGTATGTGTAATATAATCAAATTTAAATAATTAATAAATTAATGTACACACATATACAATAATTTATTATAAGATAAAAAGATCAATTCTGATAAAAGGAAACTCAGAGTCTGCTTTTTATAGCTGAACTGATTGCACTAATTCAGAGTTTATCTTTCTTCATTTAATGTGGAGAGAAAAAGATAAACTTTAAACTAGTGCAGCCAGTTAAGGCCACAGACTTCTATATATTACTAGACCGCTAACTCCTACGAAATATATGGCCCCGAAAAGTATGTACACAACACATGCGCAAACAGCACACACGCACACAAACACTTTTCGTCTGTACACATCGGCCATGTTACATATTCAGCTCCTACCCTCTTCTTTCCTACTGATTCCTACTTAAGTCACGCATGCGCAGATGTTTACTTCTCACATGTAATACATACTTTTTGGAGTCAATTTTTTGGTACAGTATATAAGGGAGTTAGCGGTCTAGTAATCTATAGAAGTCTGTGGTTAAGGCCTTTGCACAATGCTAGACGATAGCGATAGCGATAGGCGATAGCGATAGCGATAGAAATAGAAACAGAAAATTCCAATACTAGGGAATGCATATGCAAATGCAGAATGTTATTCTCTTCAGAGAATGTTATATCGTTTTCGAATGTAGCAGGTTTAATCGTTCTCAGAGCGATTAATGATATTGCATCGTCTCTGCCAATAAAAGGCTTGAATTCATAGTAAAATATAGTGATTAATTGAACCGGGTTGGGTTAACCCGTTCATTCGAAAACGCCATTACCCAAGCAGAACAAAAAATCACAATAATATCAAATGACATCAAGATGACACCAAAATGACATCAAAATGACATCAAAAAGACATCATAATGACTTTTGATCATTCGGATTACATTTTTTTAAATCCGTTTTAATCGACCATTTTCGGCAGGGTATTCTCTTGTTTCGCTCTTGTTCCGCGTTACGCTATTCCGCTGCATGGGTTTGCACCCTCAGTTTCAATGGGTTTTTTTTAGAACTTTTTATGAACTGGCTGCATTAGTTCAGAGTTTATCTTTGGGTGTTTTCCAGCAAGGTACACAGATGACACAGTGTAACCACAAAAATAATTGTTTTTAATAAAAATGTAATTATTTATAATGTTATATACATATATACATATATATGTTTTTTACTGATATATATAAGCACTACTTGTGTCTTAAGATGGCGGCAGTGGGCATGGTGGGGGTAGAGTTCTTAGAACATATATACCTGGAAGGGGAATGATGGATTGAGCCTGTGTCCAAGTTGGGTGCGACAGAGAACCACGTTTTAAGAAAAGAGAAAGGCAGATTGTAACCTTTGTTTGCAATGCGCAAGCGCGAATTAGCGAATAGAGTGAATAGCGTCATTGCTGTAGGAGGTTAGTGTTAGGAGATATCGGTGACATCGGTACGCAAAATTATTTCGAAAAAAGTTATTTCATAGGAAAAGAAAATGCCAGGCCCATATTGTGTGTTATGCGGTAAACGTAATAAATCGAGTGATATAAAGCAAAAAGATTTTATTAGACAGAAGTATTCAAAATTAATACACTTTAAACATCAATAATATATCTCGAACGTTACTTGTTATTTTGTTTAATAAAGTTTATCATTATTTGTCACTGTATGTACATTAATTATCACCTATTCGATCATCGTCAATTGTATCCCAATTAAAAATGACATTTTTATTTTCAAATGGCGCGGTGAGCGTGACGTGCGTTTGCGCATTGCGAGCAAAGATTACAACCTACCTTTCTCTCTCGTACCCAACTTGGTCACAGATCTTCTCCACGGGAAGCATAGGCAATTCCCCTTCCAGGTATATATGTTCTAAGGTAGAGTTGGCGCCTCTCTGATAATCTAGGACTCTAATATTACATATCCAGCTTCTATCCTCTTCTTTCCTACTGATTCCTACTTAAGTCACGCATGCGCAGATGTTTACTTCTCATACGTAATACATACTTTTTGGGGTCAATTTTTTGGTACAGTGGGTGTCTTCCGAAATGCGCTGAAAGTACTGACAGTACTGCTGCTGAAATCAACGTATTTCAATCGTTCCGAAATTATCAATAGACTGTGGCAGCAATGAAAATCGAAACGCATTTGCAGTAAAAAAAGCAGTAGAAAAAGAGACAAAAAAGTGTAGAGCGATATAATCTATTTAAAAAGGAATCAAAGTGACATTAAAATGAAGAAATTAACTACAATTGTAATTAGTATACAAAATATTACAAACTTTATTGAGAATTATTGCCAAAGTTCATCATCTTCGAATGATGAAGACTTTTTGACACTTTTTAAAATATTTTCTAATACTCGAGAAACAAAATTTTTATCTGTAATATCAATAAAATATTATTAAAATTATAAATTTATAACTGTTTATTTATAAAGATTCCTATAATTTTATTTTCATAAAGATATTCTTTTCAATTAATTGTAACTTATCTGCTAATGCTTTCTCGTAATCATTTGATGTTAAAAATATTTTGTATGTATTACTTATACTTCCATTTATTATTTTATATTTGTTTAATGACATGTTGTGATTTATAAAAAAATATTTCCTTTTTTTTTTATTCACTATTTCGTTCACGTTTTACGAAACCGCTAACCGCCATATGCATTACTGCCCATACAGCACTGAAGCTTGCAACAACATTGCTGCAACATTGCAATATTACATAATAATTTTCCACTTTTTACGTTTGCACCCTAAGGGAAAAGTAAAGGCTGGTTTATGCAGGCCGTAACTGTTAATTTATGCCGGAACCGTTAAAGTTTAACACTAGGATTACAATGCTTTTGTTCATAATGGCATTATGAACAAAAGCATTGTAATCCTAGTGTTAAACTTTAACGGTTCCGGCATAAATTAACAGTTACGGCCTGCATAAACCAGCCTTTACACGAAAAACGGCAGCGTGGCGACTCTCATTCTTCTCTCTGATATAAGGGAGTTAGCAGTCTAGTAATATATAGAAGTCTGTGAGTGTAACACACAATACCACATGATTAGCTGTCTAAGACTACGTTTACACGTCACCCCTAATCGGGTTTAATAACATCCGTAGTTCGAAGGCTGGCCAATCACAGTCATTCCATTCTTCAGAGGAATAGCTGTGATTGGTCAGTTTTACAACTACGGATGTTATTAAACCCGATTAAGGGTGCCGTGTAACAGAACTCAATGAAAAAATTTAAAATTCTGTATTTGATAGCCAATCGTGTGATACTGTGTGTTACGCTGGTCTAGTTTCCATCGAAGTCGTCAATCCGATTCTGTTTCGGTGCGCATCGAATTTAACGCACTGTTTCCACTGGAGGTAGAATAGAAGCGAGGAATATTGATATTTCAGTAGAGCCAACTTAACTTTTGCTTGTGAATGTAAATAAACATAATTCTTGACAAATTTCTCGTTTATTTTCCATTTTGATAATTAATACGAACGAACGGTAACTGTTACGAATATCAACATATAGACTATATATCGACTATATATTCATGGTTACGAAATAATTAAAAGTAAAGGTTGGCACCATCTATTTTCAAGCGTTTCCACCGTCTAAATTTCGTATCAATTCGCTGCCACTCCGACAAAGCTTGTAGATCGGAGTGAGAGTGAAATGAACGCAGTCAGTCGTATTTCCATCGACTTAAATTTAGTCCTATGCCGCACTAGATGCGAATTAATATTTCGGTGGAAACTAGACCAATGTGTCATCTGTGTATTTTGCTGGAAAACATCCTTTTTCTCTCCATATTGGAAAGAGAAAGATAAGCTCTGAACTAGCGCAGCCAGTTCAGCTATAAAGAACAGACCTATATTCAATTGAGAAGCCTAATCAGCCACACAGATAAGAAGAAAGAGAAGACAAATTCTGGAACAGAGTTCTCTTTTATCAACATTTACTGATAAAAATAAAACAAAATTTCAAATAAGAAAGATTAAAATCACAATAAATCTTTCCATATTTTTTGAAAGTAAAACGATTGAAACATATTTTATAGTTTTGCTTTCTTATGTTAAAAATTATTATTTTATATTTCCCGTGTATTATACTACTTTAGGGGAAGAAGACAGCGGTCTTGGTAAGCCAATTACTGTCCGCGAATCACGACAGAGAAGGCACGAAACAATTAGAAATTTTTTCGCTTCAGCTTCTCCACCGCTCTTTGGAGTTTTCAGCATGCGGACTTTTCACTCTGGATCGTACTCTCGTGACTTCGGTAAGTTTTAACTGTTCTTTTCTGCTTGTCAATTTTGTAGATGAATAAAAAAATTTACACAAAAAAAAATTTTTTTAGATTGCTGGCGCAGTCACAACGTATCTCGTAATACTCATACAATTCCAAAAAGAGGATGATACAAAGGGTAGTTTCGACAACATATTAAAGAATGCCACGCAAATGCTGAAAAACGCGACAACACTTCACAATATCACAGTGGGAAGGTTGGGCCTATAAATTAGACAAACTGTGCTTCTCTCTCTTCGTTCCTGTTTTTTATGTTCTTGAATCTATAATAATAAAGCTTTTCAAAATTTAGTACACGTCGCCCCCACATATTTATTTGTAAAATATCCATGATCGAAAGGATTAAGTCGAGACGAATTGACCTTGCAATGCACAAAGATGCAGATTTCAGATGAGATACCATTAAAAATGATAAAATCAATAGAGCTCACATGAAATACACAACACATTTAGTGCAAACCAATTCCTTAACTAAGCATAACATTTACTAATATAATGGCGTTTTTTTTTTCGTCAACAGATAGATCTAATGATAAAGGAGGGATTGCGATATAGGATAAAACATGAGTTTTGGATGCTTCCGATCGATATCAGACGCGTGCGATAATGACATTTAATATCCCAATTCTCATACATACGGCAGCGATATAAGAAATACGAATTCATTCGTTTCGCTCGACCACTAATCTCGATCGCTAATTAACAAACGATCGCTCTCGTAATCAAATTGACAATTAATTAGCACTTCGCTCCATAGTATAGTCGTCTAACAAAGTTAGATGTCGATCACAGCCTATCCAAAAATTTGCCACTCACCATCCTCCCATCATGCTAAGCGCGGAGATATTTAGAGAAACGGGTAAACTCTTGAAGAATATCCCTAAATCTCTCAAAGGAGTATCTCTCAGAAAAAGCCAGGAATTTTAGCTCGAGATTACTCCTAGGGTATATACAACTTGTATACTATCTCTTTTTCTTTCTCTTTCTCTCTCACTCTGCCGTTTTTTTCTTTTTTTGCGTATCCGCTATACATTCTTGTTCGTGTACAAATTATTAATCTAGCAATAAATATATTAAATCGCTTAGGACACTCTAGATGCGTTAGTCCGCATGCTATGTATATATCCGATACAAAGTATGTATAAATCCGGCGATGCAATGCGCGCCGCACGGAGTTAGGTGATGCTGATCAGCAATCGATGGAGAGGGGAATCGCGCCATCCCCTAACGGATTGCCTTTCCTCGGCTTTTTCTCTCTCGTTCGGCTTTTCAGATCCGTCTCCTCAATTTGCTGTAGCTGCTGCGACGGAGGGTTGAGTTTTCTGATGCGCCACCTGTAACAGGTTATCGCAGCAAGTGTCCTTCGTTACAGCGGGCGGCAGCTTTCTCGATCTCTGACATGTTGCCGATTGCGAAGGAATCACTTCAGAAGGATCCATCTCGTTCTCCGCTTTAGCACACTGGTGACGGGCGTTGCACGGACAGGAGTTTGTGTGATGATGGTGGTGCAGCCGTGTATAACAGTCACTGCACACTCTCACGGGATTATAGAGCTGTTCGCTGGGCAGAGGGGTGGAGTTCTCGGAGCAATCGGCGCAGAAAATCTTACCGCAGCATCTAATCGCATGTAATACAAGATTATGCTTAAGATTTGTTTTCTCGTCGTCAGGTGTGCCTTCCCATCTTTTAGCAGCAAGTCTAGCGGTCTATCGCGATTTCGCAGCGCAAAATGCATACCTGCAGTGATGCTTACGTCTACCAAGCCAAAACTCCGTGTTACAACCCATACATCGAGTCACGGCATGATCGGGCACCCAGAGGGTGGGCGCAGGACTCAGCTCCTCCACAGCTTCCCAGGACATATCCGATGGTAGTGACTCTCCGTGTTCACCAGTGCTGCCCACGGAATCCGGTAATGAACCCTGTAAATTTTTCGTTACATCATGTTCGTGCGAGAACGAGTGATTTAAGAATTCTACTCACAATGTCGTCGATACGATCGGTATCGGCGTTGTGATTGCAAACTTGCTTGATTAGTGCCAACCTCGTTGTGTGTAATTCCTTCCTTAGAGCTTCTTCCTTAAGCTGGAAAAATAAATTGGAAGTTATATTAATTATGATGCTATCATCACTTTAAAGGACTTCACAAAGCGGGACGTTTTCGTTCTGTAATATGTCGTCGGGTATATTATCGAGGAAATTTTCGTGAAGAATGCGATAAAACTAATAACTGCTGCTTCAAGTACCTTATGCTCTACGATAATTTGTTGTACTCGCATTTGGACGTCACAACATATGACAGGAAGACCGTCAACATCGTCCAGCCAGTCAGGATTATCTAGCATAATGTCCTGATGGGTTGGAGAAGCCGGACATATGCTACTGGGAGTTCTTGATATCAATGGGGCGCTAGTATCACTCACATCACTACCCTCGTTGTGATTGCGATTACACGATGAGCAAACAGCCCGTCCGGTTGTAGTAGTGCCGGTTTCGATCCACGGCGATACAATATCCCGCGACAAATTCGTCTGTGATCTGGAAATTTTAATAAATTTTATAAAAACTCCTGTCAATATATACAGACATAAAAATATATAATAATAATAAGCAAAAATTACTTACACTTCCTTCTCTCCATTGATCACTGCAATGGCAGAATCATTAGGTATCAAAGTGTCGGTGGAACTATCTACCGAGGGATTGGCGGGTGAATCGTTGGATGTTTGATTCATAGTACATCGTTTTGTCTTGATTTCACTCTCCAATGAGTTCTCGTTTGCAGCTTCATTTTTGTTATCACCCATATTTCTCGTGCTCTTCTGATCCGTTTCAGTCTCAAGTGCCAGAGAATCAAATTTTCTGCGATAGAGAAGCCCCCGAAATTTAAAAAGAACATGGCTATTGCAAAGACTTAACTATCGTCGAGATTACGTACTTCTCCATGGAAATACTCGGATCGCTACGTCTTCTGTGCAAATACGCCGCGTGATCAGGAGCGTGCATGAGATCACCATATGACCTCGTTTTCGTCATCTGTCCTTGCGGTTCCTCGCTCTCGCCACCCTCGATGTCAATCATTGTCACTCTCTGCTTATCATCTCTCATACCGAGCGACGATTCCATAGAACCTAAATACACTTCGGACCACAGGACAAGATCGCGCACGTTGCAACTTGGCCATAATACCTGTATAATATTATGTATAATAAAACCAATAAAAATCACTATTTTGCATGAAGAAACGTGCCAATAATGCGATATACTTTTGCTTGACAAACGTAACATACTTGATTCTTTAATGGCGAATATAAATGATTCACGAACGCAGTCGAGTTAAGAAAACGCCAAACGGAAAACGTACGTTCGCGTATTCTCAATTGCAGCCTCTCCTGCCTGGTATTACACAGGAATGTACCAAATAATTGTGAGTATGTATGCTGAGCTAATTTCACCTAAAACATATTATTGTTGTTATCAAATTGCTTGAAAAGAATTTCTTTCGATAATACATCTTTCCCTCTCTCTCTCCCCCTCCCCCCTCCCTCTCACACAGGACTATTTATTATATATTTACAAGATATGCCGACGACATTTGAAAGCTACATTGAAACTGCAGAATCAACTGGTGGACGCAATCGAGCCACTGTAAAAATACTGGACAACGCTCGTTGGGATCGTCGCAACCGATCGTTTGACCGCATCGATCTGCGAACTTGTGTCCAAAGTCTAACCATTCTCTTTCAACCAAAACTTGGAAACCCTAAAATGAAAAGAGAGATAAGAGTAATCGAATTTGATCTCTATCGCTCTTTAAAAGTTGTTGTTTACCTCCATAGTGCGATAGTATGGATCAAGTAATATCTGCGCTAAGGCGACAATTTGGGGCGTTCGATCCCAACCGTCGCTACAGTGCACTAATACTGGTCGACCGTCCCTTTCAATCGCGGAAGCCACAGTGACCGCCGCTCGCAGTAAGCCCGACATGTGTTGCAGCCATCGCGTACCTTCCAACAAACTTAACCAACTGTAAGAAAGAAATTGTTACAATAAAAAAGTTATAGTTAATTGAAACGAATTAAGAATGGATTAATTTCTATCAAGATGTATAGCAGTCTGGGAGAACAACTCACTTTGGTTGATCTGCATCCGACGCGCAAAGCTGTCGCACGGCGTGGAAACTTTTTCGTATCGAATGGATATTCGGCAGATTCATAAATTGTATGTCACAACTCGGATAATACTCTGGACATTCGCAGCCGCCGCCGCGCGCCCGATTCGCTACAGCTGTTGTGTACGATCTCGCATCGACGATTAAAACTTTCTACATATAAAAAGCAAGAAAAATTATTTATATAAAATATCCACAGGAGATAATTCCATTATGCACTTGAATAATATAATGATACTAAATAAATTATATGTAATCAATACTTAAGAGTCTTATCTTTCTTTCTTGAATTTCTTTCTGATAATTAAATTTTTCGTTCGTCGATTGATTAACTATCTAACCAAGATTCTTACCTTGGCAGCGTTTGGTGTTACAGTATCATCACCAACATCGGAATATGTAATAGGCGAGTCTACCATTGTAGATTCGCCCTTATCGTAGCTACACGCATCTGCGAGAGCCTTTAGAAGATCCTCATCCTCAGAACTTCTCCAGCCAAGCCAACCAACTTCTGGTTGGCTGCTGCGAGCTATTACGGCACCATTGTTCACATGCCTTAAAATACGTAACTGCTTTGATAAGACACAAAAAATGCGATATTCGATTATAAATCATGCATAAAACAGAAGAGTAACACATACCTCCACACAATAGCTGGAATACGTCTGGAACTTCTAAATTTGGCAACAAACTCGAGAGTTTCGTCGGAAATGCAAGCAGGAACCAAGAGCTGCGGTGGATAGGATGGACACATCCGGTAATCCTTATTTATTTGACTTATACGCCATGTACCATGTAAATTAAACTTCAATCGCTCGACCTGAGAGAATACAAATTTCGTGAAAAAATTTTCTGCACTCACAATCAGAAAAATTTAAAAGATACATACTCACCTCTGAATTAAAAGTGGTAATATAAGAACTATTATCTTTTCCAAGTCTAAGATAATCCTTGCCCTCTTCTATGGACCATGCATAGTAAGCAAACGCAAATATATCCTCTATACTTTTTCGTGGATAGGTCACTTTGTGTAATCGTTTAAACCATTCTAAACAATGTTCGTTGGTGGTAAATGCACAACTAAAATATTAACGCAATATTCACTTGATTAAAGCAGCTACAGAAATCTGTTGCGTACAATCCTCAATAAATCCATAAATAATGTAAAAAACAAGATTAATGTTAAATCTATTCCAAAAGATGAAGAATAAGATGAATATTAGAAGTACCTTAAAGAACGTGCATCTTTGCAACCAATGTGCAAATAGAAAATCTCTTTGACTTCTAATTGTTCGATAAGACCTAGAGGTATATTGTAACATGTTTGGCTTAATTGCAAATAAAGTCTATAATTCGAAAGTGCCAAAACACCGTCCGTTGTTCGTCCCAGTGCCACGACCGATTCCCCACTCAATGGCGTGAACGGAATTGTCAGCGTCTCATCCTCGCACTCAAAATGCGTGTGCTTGGGAAACAGTTCCGAGGCATGCAGATGGCATATCGATTGCAGACTGGTCGGTTCCTCGGAACTTTCCATTTCTGTACTTTCTACAATAAAGATTTACGCCCTTGACACTCAACAATTATCTCTATACATTTCTTATCTCTATACATTCTATATATTTCAAGCATAAATAGAAATCAAATATCTCAAAGCAAGCAGAAGAAAGACACCCATTGTCTTATCTTCATCATTGTCTTATCTTTATCATTTCTTATACCTCTCAGTAATTTAATTCAACTTACTTAATAGAAACTTTATCAGAAAGTATCCAATATCTCAAGATTATAAGGTATTCTGCCTCCTGTAACACATCAACAACTTATAAAAATATGTATGTTCTGACTTGCATAAACATATGACGCATCAATATTTACACTGTTAAGCCTTCAGCATATTACAATATTCCAAGATTAAAAATAATTTTCAATTACAATATCAGAAGGTAACTGAAAGCAAGAGAAATATTTTTTCCATACAAATCTTGAAATTTACGAATTATTAATAAATTAATCATTTATTTAAATTTATATATTTAATTAATTATTTATAACTATGCCAACATTCAGATTTTATTGTATCTATATTAGTAATTCTGCTTTGCAAGCGTGTTTTATCTTTACTGTGTTTTTGTCGTCACATTGTGACATTTACTGATACTGTTGAAATTATTGATATTCTTTCAATAAAAATATCTCTTTTATATATATTTAAATCCAAGTAATCCTCTATAAGATAATGCTATAAATATTTATATTACAAATATTACTTTAAAATAAACAATGTCAAAATTTTTCCATTTTTCTCCTGTGTTATACAAGTAATAGATAGATTAATTTTACATAGCACTTATATTATTAGTGATATAATTTAATATTATTATTTAGTATACGATTGCTTCTCCTTCAATATTTTTGTCCATATTTCTTTCAATCGTGTATATATATTTTCTACTCTTTATCTTTTGCCTCAAATCCAAATGTGCTCATCCATTTTTCATTTGAAATGCAGAAAGTGCGAATCAAACAAACGAATTCATTGGTATAGCATTATATTTTGAATTATATGGAGTTTTTTTCATTCAAAACTTTTTTTTAAACACTATTTTTCATCTCACATTTTCGTTCTTTACCTCCGAAAAATTCACGAGCTATTGGAACGCGTTCTCGTATATACATCACGGTTTAATCGCAGTGTCATCGTGAGCACGGGGAAAGCGGATCCCGCTTCGTCTCGCTCCGGACACCAATGTCGATTATTGCCAATTCCGGCCGACCGATTTTTTTTTTCCCCTCGTCCAGATTGCATATACACACATACATACATAGGTAGAATCGTGCATATAGAAAGGGATAGCGACCGAGGAGAGATCAATTTTAATTCCGACTCCATCAAAGAGTTCGCATCGTGGAGTCCGATTCCGCATTCGAAAAGCCGAACGCTTCTTTCTTTTTCTCTCTAGCATTTTACAGCGCTCTTAAAATAGATGGAATTTTAACAGGAAGAAGATAATAATACCTGTCAATGTTTGAACAGAACTTTATGAAACAAATAATTTTTTCCAGATTCTAGAAAAGACGCAGCATCTGTCTTATTGCGAAAACATATGTAATGTATAGCGCAGCTGAGACAGAGACAGAGACAGAGAGAGAGAGAGAGAAAAGTACACACAAATCCATTATTGCGCATCTCCCCGTTTGAAATCGCAAACAAGAGTGTGCAGCCGCGCGAGTACTTCGTTACACTTTATTTTGTTCCTTTCCAACGAATGCGAACGGCTTTTCTTGCTCCTCCGCTCTTGTTATGCGGCCAAGTCAGGCGACATGTGTCAACCTTGAGACGCGCGTCACATACGGCGCGTAATTACTCGCGCGATTATTCACTCTTTCTTTTTCTCTCTCTTTCTCCTCTTTTCTTTCTTTCCCTTTACGTTGAGTGAGAGAGAGAGAGAGAGAGAGCGCAGAGTAATTTTGCGAGCAGACTTTGCTTCCTACTCACTTGGAGGCCTACTCACACTAGCAAGAAATGTTCCATGCGATGGACGATACGCACGTCGATCTGTATGCTCAAGATCTCTCTCTCTCTCTCTCTCTCTCTCTCTCTCTCCCCCCTTCTCTCTCTCACACACATCACACACTCACTCACTCTCTCACCCTTATACAGGCCGTGTTCTTTCAGGCGGAATCCATAAACCGAAAGCACGAAGAGACGCCACGCATTAACGATCTTGCTCCGCGACGCGGGGCATCGTCCTCACAGACACTACCGCGACGACGAGGCGCCAGAGACACGGATTCGACGCGATAGGACGACGGCGGCGATGACTATCAGTTGTCATTTTTGCAGCTGGACCTCATGGCCATGTATCAGTTTCGTCGCGGCTGAGATGGAACGTCCGCGATAACGAGATTCCATAAGTTTCACGTATCCCCCTAGAAGCTCCGATAGTCTCGTACCATCGACGTGAAAACTGCTCGATCGTACTGACAAGTTGTATATACGTATATACACACATACGCACGGATCTAAAGGCCGTATTACACTACGAGTTGCGGGCTCGGTTGCGGTTGGAGTTAAGGCCGTATTACACTACGGGTTGCGGGTTCGGTTGCGGTTAGGGATACGGTTGACAGTTGCGGATTGACCAATCAGAACAAAGCAGCTTGCCGGCAGATTAGTCAATCCGCAACTGTCAACCGTAACCCCACCGCAACCGAGCCCGCAATCCGTAGTGTAATACGGCCTTAACGGTTGATAGTCGCGGATTGACCAATCAACCGCCAAGTTGCTTTAAGCCCGTATCAGACTACGCATTGAAAATTGAAGATTGAAGATTAAAGATTGGAATTTGACTAATCAGAACAAAAAGGACTAAAATTTCTTTATTCTGATTGGTCAAATTTCAATCTTCAATCTTCAATCTCAATCTTCAATGCGTAGTCTGATACGGGCATTACTCTGATTGGTCAATTCGTAATCGTCAACCATAACCCCAACCGCAACGGAGCCTGCAATCCGTAGTGTAATACGGCCTTAAAGGTGCTTTTCAATGTAATGTCACGTGTCACATGATATCAAAACAAGTACAATTTTTTGCGCACTAATAAATTATTAGAAATGCTGCACGCTAGGGCAGTCTTCCGAAATGTGCTGAAAGTACTGACAGTACTGTTTTCGCGTTCCGAAAATGTTTTCAGCATGCTGCAAGAGAATAATAATTACTACCAGAGAGAAGCCTGAGAGGGGCCACGCCGGCGTTTTTCTTACGACGCTTTAACTAGCCGGTACAATGGCGCTAATTAGATCCATTTTATGGCCGAGCGGAACTATATGGCCACTTTCAGTGCCACTGTAAAACGACCGGGTGGTTCATGTCTCTGCTAGATCCATAAAATGGATCCAGTTAGCGCCACTGTTACGGCTAGTTAAAGCGTCGTAAGAAAAACGCCGGCGTGGCCCCTCTCAGGCTTCTCTCTGTTACTACCTTTTTAACGAAAATAGGTCCTAGGGAATTGCTGACTTCCGGCTGATTTTGCACATACTTCCGAGGTAGTGCGAGTTCAATAATGCATATGGTGGTTAGCAGTTTCGTAAAACATAAACGAAATATTGAATCGAAAAAAAGGAAATACTTTTTTATTATTCACAACATGTCATTAAACAAATATAAAATAATAAATGAAAGTACAAATAATACATACAAAATATTTTTAACATCAAATGATTACGAGAAAGCATTAGCACATAAGTTACAATTAATTGAAGAGAATCTTTATGAAAATAAAGTTATAGAAATCTTTATAAATATGTCACTTTCACTCCTTTTTAAATAGATTATATCGCTCTACACTTTTTATCTCTTTTTCTACTGCTTTCTCTACTACCAATGCGTTCCGATTTTCATTGCTGCCACAGTCTACTGACAATTTCGGAACGATTGAAATACGTTGATTTCAGCAGCAGTACTGTCAGTACTTTCAGCGCATTTCGGAAGACACCCTAGGTTATGTTCCGATTTCCCACCCGGGTCACAGTATAAATATATATAGTAGTGTCACTCTGTGTTGGCACCTTTGATCTTCAGGAGGTTTATTAGTGCCGGTCTACAATAGGTGATTTAAGCCTTAAGCCTTAAAAAATTGACCAATCCCAATCAAGTATGAGGAAAATACTCGACTGTGATTAGTCAATTTCTTAAGGCTTAGGGCTTAAATCACCTATTGTAAACCGGCACTTACGGTTTTTGAAACGAGGTGAAAATTACAAAAGTGAACAGATTTACTAGATTTCGACAAATGAAGTTATAGATATTCTAGTGAATTTTCTCACTTTTATAATTTTCATTTCGTTTCAAAAACCGTAATAGGTCCCCAGGTCCAATGTCCAATCATCCGCCATGGGTGCGTTCAGGAGACACAACCGTGGATAGTCTTGTCAACACTCGACGTTGATTTGTTGATTCTAAAAGTAGGAACTAATCACGTTCGATTGCTACTCAACGGTTGTATCCTGAATGAATCCATATTGTTAATTGTGCGCGGCGCTTCGTTTGAATAATTGAAATCGATTGACGACCATTGTGAAGCTATATATGATATGATATATTGTGATATATCTATGCAAGTGTTTTTTATTATCTTAAATTATTTGTATCATACAATACTGGAAAAAATATCTATATAAATCAAAATATTAAAATATTGTTATTATATTAATATATATTATTATATATATTGTTAATTATCTTTATATTAATAATATATTATATATGGTGCATTCCACGTGTCAGGGGTCCACCTAAAATTGCAAAAATGTGTACAAAGCAGCAGATTTTTCGCTGTTGTAAGCCATTTAACATAGTCTCTCACAGAAAAAGTACACATTTTTGCAATGCGTAAAGACATTGTAGGGTTATTTTTTTTACCTTTAACCTTATACAATATGTGCACTAATATGTTTTCATGATCATTTTAAAAATCCCAAGCACTTCATTTTTTGGTGGACCCCTGACACGTGGAATGCACCATATATTGTCTTCATATTAAACATTTTATTAATATTATTGTTATATAAGTAAAATTATAAAAATTGCGTTCTATATATGTAACAAAAATTAAAAGTAAAACATTTTAATATAATAAATAAAATAAAAATACATATTTTATTTATTTAAATAAAATATAAATATCAATAAATTTTATCTACTTTTATAAATACAAATATGAATACTATTAATTTTTTTTAAATCTGAACTTTTATTTTCTAAAATTAAAATATATGTTTACAGATATAGAATATATGTTTTATGTTTTCTGACATCCACATTAACGAAGATTGTTTACTTGGAAAAAATTAAATATAAAATTTAACTAGCATGTTATTGAGATGAAAAAATGAATAATAAATTATTAAAAGTATGTTAGCATTCTTGTGTTACAGAGTTAATATTCATATTAACATTTATTTTTGTAAAAAAGTCGATATTAGATTTATATAAATATAAAATTAAATACTAAAAATATTATTATTAAAGTTATAAGCAACTCGACATTTCATGTATAGCATTTTATTTTTAGTGCGGAATACTACAAACAACCAAATTCGCTAGTGAAATAGATAATATAACTTTATACTCATTAATTTTGTACTCAAAACAGAAAACGCAAAAATACAAGATTATTACCGATTATTTACGTTATGCAATATACACAGACACTATGGGCAGAGTTATCAGCTGTTACGCCTCAACGACGTTCTTTCTCTTACTATACCTCGGTTAGTGAGAAAAGGATAGCTCTCTATTTTTTATAAGGCAATCTGCTTCCACTGGCTATATCCCAGAACTAGGACCGAACTAAGGGTAAAAGTGACGTTTAGGGGATGCGACGGCTAAAACCTTCTGAAGGTCACTCAGGAGGGTGACCTTGACAACATATGTCAAGGTCAAGGTCATCGGGGCTGAACTTACCCAGTATAGTGTGCTTAGAACATATATAAATGGAAGGGGAATAGCAGGCTGAAAAGTGTCGGAAGGAAGTGAGAAAGAAAATCATAGTTGCCTCTCTCTTGTGAGTAACTACATATACAAACATCGTGTCTGTAGATATACATACTTTTGTGTACACACACATGTGACTAATGTAACCTTATTTTTCATTGGGCCAAACCGGTAAGCCGTGCATGCGCACTTTTGAGCAATTACTCACAAGAGAGAGGCAACTATGATTTTCTTTCTCACTTCCTTCCGACATGTTTTTTTATCGGGAAACAAAGGCATTACCCTTCCATTTATATACAGCGTATTCGAAAAGTCTCGGACCACCTGTTTTTCTCGGAAAATACGCATGGGACAAAAAAATGTTTGGAACAAAAGTTTAATATTTTTTAGGGAGCTATTCAACTCCGTAAAAGTTAGCCCTCCCCCTCACCCCCTTTAGGGTGGAGGAGGGTAACTGTGGAATTTTAAATGGGAACCTCCCTTTTTTTTTGCATATTCTTGTAGCTTACCTGAGAGAGGTTAAAGTGTCGTTACGCCAATGATATATGCTCGGCAACCGGGTTTTCAGGGGTTGGACCACGTTCAAGTAACAACAGCAATTAATTCTATGCAAAATATTGTCTAGTATTGATATTGTTATAGCCCAAAACGGCTATAACCAAATTAGCATAATTATTAATTATTAAATATTATTTAACGTCTTCCGACTATAACTCGAAGCCGAGGAAGACGTATAAAGTTACGAGCGCAATCGCTGACAAAGCAAGCCACGCGCGGAGGCCACGCGTTTGCGACCCGAGCGAGAGATTGCAGCATCAGCAACCTACTGACCCAGTGAGCAAACATGCGAGCCGTCTTATTACTATAAGTCCGTAATATATTTGTAATTGCGTGAATGTCGGAAGGTTCTAACGTACGTAAGCGATTAGCTTAACAAGAGGAGATTATACACAGATCATCCACATTTTAAATGAAATACGCGCGGATATTAATTCATTAAACGTACGAGT